AGGAAGGACCCACGCCGTGAGCTCACCCCAGTGTGGGATTTGGCTTTTGGTGGCTCGAGTCCGGCCTGTCCCAGCTATCCGACCCCCCCCCCAGGTTTCTCAGCCAGCTTGAAGGCAAACTGTGAATCACCTGAGACGCTCTTTTCTCCTCACAAAGGGCTGGAAAGGCCTGGTCCCTTTAGAGGCCGACGCAGAGGGGAACAGTAAACGGCGGCATTAGTGTAGTTTGCTGCTAAACAAACGTCTCACTTCCTGCTGCCGCTTTCATTTCTCTGTCCCAACACGTTACTTCCTAAAAAGTGCGTCTCGCAGCTAGACTTTAACACTTTCCTGTCAGAGACGGACAGCTGTGCCAACTCAAACAAATCCTGCCGACTGGAACTGTGTGTGTGTGTGTGTGTTAGTGTGTCGGGGGTTTAGCAGCAGGCTGATGGGGGCAGTTTGCCACATGAGGCCTGGCCCATGTGGAGGACATCAGCTGGGTGGGGGGGGGGGTGTAACAGGGAGCCCCGACAGACGGATCTGTGATCCTCTGTCTCGTCTTTCGGGTTAGGGTTAGGGTTAATGAAACGCGCTCGGAGTTCTTTGAAGCCTAAAACTTTACTCTTGTACAAGCTCAAACTCTCTGTCTGAGGGTCTGAAAATCTGAAAAAAAAAAGCCTGAAAATCAATCTGCTGAATCTTCACAAGACTTGTCTTAAAGCGTTTTCATTTCAAGAGGTCGGCCGCAGACTTACAGATGCAGTTTTGAAGCTTTGGCCTCTACAGGAACAATTATTTGTTTGCTTTTAGGCCTAAAAAATGTGGTATTTAAGGGGAAGTCAACACCTCAGAGTCACTTTCCGCACCACAACACACAGAAGAATGAACACAAAGCGGTGTGACAACACAACGACCAACACGGAGCTAATCGTCCTGCAGGTGTTGCTTCACCGGGCGGCCAGTCCGGTTGCCATGGCGAACTGTGCTCCCCCGTCCTGCGACTAGGTGGGAGCTTCGGGTGGAACAGGGACTTTGACCGCGCGGCAGAGGCTGAATCGTGTCATTCACTCCAGCTGAACCGCTCTTCCCATGATGCACTGCACGCCCTCAGGAAAGCGCGAGGGGGACGAATGCTTTCTGGGTCAGGAAAAAAAACTAACTTCAAGCTATTAAAAAATGAAAAGAAAAAAATGCCTTAACTCCAACGTGTTTCAACAAAAGAATTTCAATAAATTACATTTTATTGAATTAATTTAAATTATTTGACATTTTTAAAATGTACATAAACTATAAATAAATCAAATTTTACATTTTTCTTTTAAAATTTTAAATAAACCAAAGCTGACCAATTAACTGCACTGTCTACATAAACCATTTTAAATACACATATTCTTTGGTTTAATGAGCCAGACTGTTCATTATGAGGATGAAATATGCTCACAAAAACCCAGATTTGAGCTACCCTGCAGGCCGGGCTGCACCTCAGATATGGGATGGAGGTGTGAGCAGCTCTGAGGCCTGTGTGTGGTCGGGAGGATCTGTGCGGGGGCGGCGCTCCAAAGCAAAGGCAGCGTTCACGCCACGCCGACACGCCATCTGCAGCGGGCCGCCACACGGGATAAGAGGGGGATAAAATACACCAGGCTCGTGGTTCTTCTCACACCACAGCCTGAGCAGGCCGTGCTGGCTGTGGTTTTTATTGGCAGACGCCTTCCGCTTTGTTTCCTCGTTCGGCCTGAAGATGCGTCTGCATCCTGATGGGGGCCTTTACCCTCTTGGGAACGCTTTGGACTAGGGATGTCCCGATCCAGCTATTTGCACCTACGATCCGATACCGATCCCGGCCTATCAGAGCATGTCTTAAAGTTTAAAGTTATTTAGCCTACTTACTTAGTTTTTCCACCGGTGCAACCAGTGTGTGTGAATGGTGAATGACACGCAGTGTGAAGCGCTTTGACTAGTCAGCTTGACCAGAAAAGCGCTCTATGAGTGCATGGTACGTTTAACATTTACGTTCTGATGAGCCCACGGAAGTGAGAAGGCAGAGAGGAATGCCGGAGTCGTCTTACTCGTTAGAGGCTAAGAGCCCAAACCGGCCCCACTCCGGACCGCCACCGTCTGCTCTATCAGAGGCAGAAACGGCCTCAACGCGATGGTTAAACAAACTATTGGAGGGAATCTGCTCCTGGCCCGACGGCAGGAGGTGCACAAAGCTTCCTCAGATCACAGAAACAGCCCACGGGGTGATGCCTACTGGCCACAGCACTTTGCATCGAGGCTTTATCTGAGCAGGAAGCTGCCGCCGTACGGCCGGGAAAGCCAACGTTACCAGCTCTTAGATTCTGGGAGTCCTCTCCCCAACAAAGCGTTGCAGGTTTCCCCTCAAAAGAGGCTTAAATGTCAGTTTATTTGCTATGACCAGCGACTTGACTCTATATTCTCCACTTGCTTTGACTCCACAGAGTTAGGAACGAGCACATTATTCAATGTCAGGCAAATCTTAGCCGATTTTTACCTCATTTCTGAAGTTCTGTGGGGGAAAACGCGTCACGTGATTGGTTGGAACCGTAGTTTGGAGAGCGAGGTCGTTAAAGCGCTTTGTAGAAATTAGGACATGAAGGGGAAAAGCTCAAACGTGCACGTGAGAAACAACTTAATGTCATCCGGAGGAGGGATGTCAAACTTCTGCTCTCTAATGTTAAGACTAGAGAGGAAGACACACAACTTCTCCCGCTCAGTGACTTGATTACGCCATCGGTTTAGCTCTGATCTGGAGAAAAAGCACCCAAAGACGCACCCAAACAACGTTTCCCCAAAAATCCAAAACAAGACGGCGAGGCCGCGCGTGAAGCCACCTCAGAAGCTAACGCAGCTCAGTTGGATTAAGCCATGTCGAGATAATGGTGTTAGGGCAGAGTGCTGAACAGGCCAGATCTGGTGGCGGACGCTAATCCCAACAACTGCAGCAGCAGCGTAATTAAAGAGAACGCAGCCCTCGCGCACCAAAACAAGAAACGGGATCGATATCTGAAATGCACCGAGGCATCACGCTCACTGTGGCGCGCACAGGAAAACGTCTGTGGGGTGACCCGGGTCAGAGGGTCAGGTCACACTCGTCATACAGCAGAACCTCCACTTACGATGCCTAAACATACGAATTCTCCAACATCCGAAGTGAGATTCGATCAAATATTCCACTCGACACCCGAAGTCAATTTCAAACATACGTCGAAATATTATATACGAATATTTAGACATCCAAAGTCGGTCCTGGAATGAATTACATTTGTATGTAGAGGTTCTACTGTATTTGAAATGCACCTATGCACAGTTACGAACAAGAAAACGCGCGCACTGCACGTGCACGTCTGTGGGGTGACCCTGCTCAGTGGGTCAGGTCAGATTCATCCTATTCCCTAAGAAAAGGCCTCGTTTCGGGGTATTCAATACAGGACGCTGGTTTGGTGTGAGTCATTCCCTCTGAAAATCGAAAAAAACAAACAAATGAAACAAATTCACGTTCCTAGACATGTTTAATTTCTAGGAAGAGCTCGTGCCTGCAGGCCCGTACACACGCACTCCCACCGTGATTCAGGAGGGAAGGCCTCTGCCAGGTATCTCCGGGACAAATTTCCCCATTTCCTTATGCAAGAGGGCCCTCTTTAGCCAGAGGAGAGAGCCCCCCTCGCGCTGGTCCCACACGGGGAGCAACAAGTCCCACCACGTCTCAAACCGCCCGTTTCCCAGCCAGGTGCCGGCATGTCCTCCAGGAGGAGCGGCACCACCGCCATTGAACGCACCATCCGGCCCCAAACGTCGGATGGTTTCCCTTTTCCCTGCAAAGCCTTTTGCTTTTCATCCTCCATCCATCCGTCCACGCGCTGCTGCATCACCCCCCCCCCCCCCCCCCCTTCCCCGCGTCTAATTTATCCCAGGGGGGGGGGGCAGCGTGAGACAGCTTTAACGGGGATGCTGCATCATGTCCACTTTGGGGCCGTCTGGAGGTTTCACTTCCACCTTTCGGCTGCCAGACTGCACGCGCTGGGCGGGATGTTGTGGGTCTCGCGGCTTGGCACGAGCGGCAACTGCAGAGAGGGCACGCTCTCCGGTGAAATCCATCTTTCAAATCACGTTAAAACGACACCTAAAAGCCCACGACCCAGCAGAGGGATGGAGCGGGGTTAGGAGTGTGAGTTTAGGTCATTTATAAGGGGGGGGGGGCTCTGGTCTCTGCCCCCCAGCGGCACAACAAACGGCCACAAACCTTTCATCACGCTTTCATCCGGAACAAAACCAAAAGGCACTTTTTTCTTTCGGGTTATCGGGTGTGTTCACCATTTCCAACCGGTCCAATCAAGCTCACGCCATCAAACGCCCACAAACGTGGCCCCGGGCTGTCAGAGGCTCGTTACCGTCGTTTTATGCCCGTTTTTTACCGGCCACCAGACTCCGTCCGAGCCGTGGGAGTCCGAAAACGTCCACCCGAGACAGCCCGGCCTTGACAGCCCGCTACGGGCGAAACGAGTCCGGGTTAGACGCCTTAAGACGAATAAAAACCACAACCGGGGTCAACGGGGTGGCCGCTCGCGCCCCCTTTGAGAAACCAACCGCCGCGTGAGGAGGGGAAGTTAACGGGGCGAGTGAGGGAGGAAAGGCGTCGATGGCGAACACCCCCAAACACACACACACGTACACACACACGACCGTCTTCCTGTACTTAGTTGAGGACGCCCGGGGTGTAGTTTTTAGTCGAAGGCTTTCGTTTTGGACCCCGGGAAGCGAAACTTCCAGCTCAAAACAAGCTCCGGTGAATGGCAGCCGGCGGAGAGTGAAGGCGACCGGCTGAGAAACCGGGGAAAACGCGAGAGAAATGGAAAAATGGTTGTTGTTTTTGTTTTGTTTTTGTTACCTGGATGCTCGTTGAGAACCACGGGACTCGCTGTCTGGACACCACGCTGGAAACAGCGGTATGGGCTGAGGAGGAGAAGAAAAGCGATTTGCTGATTTGCTGCTTCCGGGTTAGTTAGTCGAGCGTCATAGCGGCCGGGTGGTGTGCTCGTTTTTCTCCACCTCTACGCGCGGGGGGAGCGGGTACACAGACGCCCATTACGGTGCCGCCCGGGCAGAGGACAGCCGTTCATTTGTTCTAACGGCCACTTCCAACGGATTACTACTGAACCGGCTATAAATACATCTTTGGTTTACGTTGGTCTGGACTCTTGAATATTAAGACTAGTTCTAGTGTGTTGCCATTGGCAACAGAGGTTCAGTCGCTTCGCCGAGGTGCTCTTTGGCAAAATTGTGAAATAAAGGCTTCCGGGGGGGCTGTTGCGTCACTACATCCCAAAATAGTAATCCTCCTTTTCATTTAGAAAAGAGAGATGTTCACAAGGTGAATAATCTGGCTGAAACATTAATTTTTCTGGTATTATTTTTCTTACCTGCCCTGTAGAGACACATTAACATTGCTGTTGCTAGGTAAGATACTTAACATTTAGATTAAAAAAAAAAAAAAAGATCCATCCTTTACATCTTTATAAAGCTTGTATTTCAATATAGGACTTCACCAGCTAGTGGCCCCCAGCACATACTGGTCATTCCCAGTATCCACACTGGTTAAATTGGGCTTAAAACTGCTTTGATTGTCAGTTAGATTGGGACATAACAGACAAAAAGGGAAATTATAGCATTAAACAATTTATATTAATAATAAGATGGCTTAAAGTAGGTAATTGCACTTCAGAATCAAACAAAGAAAAGGAAAAATATGACAGTTTTGCATCCATAATCTCTTATGGCCTCACCCAGCTACAGAGCCAGTCATTTCTAGGTTTCCAGCGTTTCACACCCAGACTGTAAATCTGCCCGTTTCGTTGTTGTTTGAACTGATGTAGTGGTTTCTGTACTTCATTTCCACTCAGATGTCCTAACATGAGATATCTTATTGAATTATTAATAATCCTTTTCATTGTTTAAACCGACAGGCCCTTCATTGGGTCTCTACTTCCTCTGAATTAACAGGTGTGACAACCTTCAGAGCTCTGAGAGCTCTCTCTTTTTAACATTTTTAGACTTGTGAAGGCATTTGTTTTAATTGTACACATTTCAAAGGGATCCTGTGCTCCTTTGTGGAACTTAAACTGAAACGACTTAATTTTTGAACAGTTATATTTGACAAAGCCATAAAGTTTGGCTGTTAAATGTTAAACAATTTCAAGTCGAATCATAATTACAAGCTTAAAATCTGTCAGACATATATTTTTGGCTCTCCCTCCTTCATGGGGTCACCAGTTTTTGACTCAGATTAATACTTGCTCCGTGGTGGCATTCGACTGCTGCTTGTTGCTCGGCATTTAATCTGAAGCGTTTCTTTCCACTCAATATCGTTCGCAATATAAAAGAAGAAACACAAACTTAAAGCAGTTTGTCCTGAGTTTTTCTCTTTGTTTGCTTGTGACTTTGCTGTGAAGCCGGTCACAGTTTCCATCACAGCCTGGCTCCAATTGAGGCTGATTGGCCTCCACACCTGCTGGCCGTTATGCGTCCCGGGGCCTATAAAGACAGTCTGAAAAGGCTGGGCGGGTCCATTTAACAGACAACTGTACCAAGGTTCCCCATTGAAGCTGAAAGTTTGCAGTTGAGCAGATCCACCTCTTACCATGGCAAAAGAGAAGACCCACGTGAACGTGGTGGTCATCGGCCACGTGGACAGCGGGAAGTCCACCACCACCGGACACCTCGTCTACAAATGCGGAGGCATCGACCAGAGGAAACTGGAGAAGTTTGAGAAGGCCGCGGCTCAGGTGAAAGGACGGACCACCGGACCCAAACGTTCGGACCGTGAACAAGTGTTTTAACTCTGCTTTGTTTGTGTCGCAGATGGGGAAGAGCTCCTTCAAGTTTGCCTGGGTGCTGGACAAGCTGAAGGCCGAGCGGGAGCGGGGCATCACCATCGACATCTCCCTACTCAAGTTCAACACCCAGAAATACACCATGACCATAATTGACGCTCCGGGCCACCGCGACTTCATCAAAAACATGATTACGGGGACCTCACAGGTGATGGACGTACATCAAAACCCAGACCTCTTTAATTTATTTGAAATTTGACTAAATAACCATAATCTGTGACGTTTCAGGCCGATGTTGCCCTTCTGGTGGTGTCCGCAGCCAAAGGGGAGTATGAGGCGGGCGTGTCCAGGAGCGGTCAGACCAGAGAACACGCCTTATTGGCTTACACTTTAGGGGTCAAGCAAATCATCGTCTGCGTGAACAAGATGGACCTGACGGAGCCGCCGTACAGCCAGAAGCGCTACGAGGAAGTGGTGCGAGGCGTGAACGGCTTCCTCAAGAAGATCGGCTACGACACAGCCGCCGTGGCCTTCGTCCCCATTTCCGGCTGGACTGGGGAGAACATGATCACCGCCACCCAAAAGGTGAAAGACGGATCCGGCTTGGGACCAAATTATTCTAGTTCTCCCCCCCATGCAGTACGTTGACATTCTGAATCTGGACAGATGCCGTGGTATCAAGGCTGGAAAGTCCGGCGCCGGGAAGGGATGGCGAGTGGGAAGACCCTGCTGGAGGTCCTGGACTCGATCCACCCGCCTGTACGGACCATCAACAAACCCCTGAGACTGCCTCTGCAGGATGTGTACAAGATAGGAGGTAAGGGGATTTGAATCTGTTGATAAATGCTAGAAAACTGGTGTTAATGTCGTAACTATGAATGGTTTCTTCTCCTCAGGAGTGGGGACGGTACCGGTGGGGAAGATCGAAACCGGGGTCCTGAAGCCCGGCATGACCCTGATGTTCTCCCCCGCCAAGCTCACGGCGGAGGTGAAGTCCATCGAGATGCACCACCAGGGCCTGCAGACGGCCCTGCCGGGCCACAACGTGGGCTTCAACATCAAGAACGTGTCGGTGAAGAACCTGCGGCGCGGCGACGTGGCCGGCAACGCCCAGCAGGACCCGCCGCTGGACGTCAGCAGCTTCGAGGCTCAGGTGGGTCCCAAGGGCCGC